AATATCGCACCATATCGCTGCTTGGCATTTCTTCACTTCTCCTTTGTTGCCATCGACGCTTCACTTCGAAAGCTCTGAAATTCTTAAACCGTATGCAAGCCTTTTAAAGTAGTATACAACAACGGGAAACCCAACGGCCTAAGACAGTGGAACACTATCAAGGACATCTGGTGCATCAATTTACTGAGAATAAAAGCAGTAAAATGAATTTCAGGCATTTGCGAAGTCCAGACTTGAGCGCAGACTAAGGCAGTTCTAGCATATTTGGTGTTGTAGAGTAACTCAGCATTAAGTTCTAGCAGCTTGTATCACCGTTAATAAATGAACCATTGTAGATGTCTCTTGTGTTGTTGACAATTTTCGTCCTGAGAGCTATATAAGCGTTCCCTTTGGTAACATTCATTCTTGACATTCATTTTACCCTTCACTCGACATTCGTATCCCGTCGCCAATAAACTACTACTACCCTTTCGTGTCCTGCAACCATAATACGAAGAAGACTACAACATTTGGTTTGACATAAAAAAAACCTGGTTCTGACCAAGAAGTTAACAACTTATTAGTTGTTTTTACATACAATGACAAACAAACATTTTACACTTGCCTTATGAAATTTGCTAGTTGCAAGACAAAAAAATCGAATACTTCAAAGGAGTAAGTAGCGCATACGTTCGAGACTACAAACATACATCTACAGATACTGCTAATTTCTGGACAAATGGCAGTAAGCTCAGGTCAACTCACAATGAACTTATGCTATTGTGCGAGAGCAAGATAACAATCAGGAAAGAGAGTCACACGAAATGAAAGAATGCTAGGAAGCCATGCTATCGTAAGTTTTGAATGCAGCAAACTATGCAAGTAATGTGCAAAGTATTTCATGCTCAAAGGATGCAATAAAGGTCAATCAAGTAGTCCAGAGAAGGGCTTGCCACGAGCTCACACCAGGGAGATTTCGAAACGAAGTTCTCTTTGATCTTGAGATTTTCCTATGACGTCTCCTTTGACCCTAAACCCTGAAAGTAAAAAACCCTTATAGAAACGAAACGTCGACCAAAAAACTCGCAATTTCTGTTTTTGGGCTACAAAAACAATATCCCCTTTGCTTTTTGTCCCAAAAACGATATCCAGCTTGACCCGTGCAAGCTGTGGCGAGCCATGGTCCTCTAAAAAATGGCAGGCATGCCATTTTGACAAAAATCAAGCCGAGCGCGATCGGTGTGAAGAACACAATACTTTGAGAAAGTTAGTTGGAACGAATTCCACAGCTAGAATTTTTGAAAGGCAGAATTTGAACTGCCTGGTAAGTTTCACGTATAAATATTCATCACGGTAGATCCAACTACTGAGCTTGATAAATTTTATTCATTCTCAAAAGGTAAGTGGAGGGCTAACTCCATGTTTCCAAGTCATCTTTTGGATAGTCAAAAACTTTGGTGTGAAGTTATTGCACCTGCAGCAAACTGAAATATTGCTGAGTGAAGTGTGAGCCAAAAAGAAATAGATAAAAATCCGTTGAAAATGTGCGTACGTCAGGTTAAAAAATAGGTTCATTTCAATAGCATGCCCTTCCCTTCGAACCGCTAAGAACTTCTCGGACGAACTTACAGTTCAAGGTTTGAAATGTAAAATAAAGTCAAAACTAGACATCTAACCGAAACGGCAGGTGATCTGCATGACTTTAATTGACGATGCAAGCTGGTTTTTCTCATAATATTAGGTTGGTGCAAAAGTTTTGTCAGTTTTTTCAATCCATCGGCAAACACGAAAGAATGAAGATAGACAAACATTTCAAAATGTATCCAATGCAGAATTTCTTCGTCTTTCCAGCTGCTAAACTATCATTGTGTTCCGTTGCGAATGTGACGAGATATTTGCTGGAAATTACAACCACTCGTTTTTACCACGTTCAAATTTCGCTAATTTTCAAAATTTTTATATGAGACTTTCGGAGGAGCACTAATAACCAGCAAATAGGGCAAACTTTTTGCCAACAGAAGCAGTTTTTGTAGCCCTACGGCTTGTCTTTTAGAATTTCTGCGATTTATTTTGGGAAGTAATCAAATTTTACATTCAGATTATTGTAACCTTGTAGAACATAAAATGTTAGACACTTCAGTCACCATTCGATGCAACGTTTTCTCCTCGTTCTAACACTTGTCTTTTTTTGCCGAGGCAGGCGAAATTTGTGGGGAAAATCGCAGTATTTCTCAACTTCAGGAGTGTGCACTGACGTAACATATGTTTCAGAATCTTCATAAATTTGAAGCGAAAATCGCTCATTTACTTTGTAATGGCAGCGGTAGTGATATTCGAGTGTTGAAACCTCAGTATTCTGTAGGTTTTGCAGTGTTTGGTGCAATAATAAGTTATGCAATTTTTCCAAAAGAAGACTTTTAAAAAATTAATTAGCAAAAATCCGAAAAAGCAGCTGAAAAGAAAGAAAAAAGTTGCACAAGTTGGTAAAAGGTTAGCCTTATCAGCTGGTTATTAGGGTTCCTCCGAAAGTCTCATACAAAAATTTTGAAAATTAGCGAAGGTTGTACATGGTAAAAACAGATGGTTGCGATTTCCAGCGAATATCTCATCACTTTCTCAAAGAAACACAATGGGAGATTAGCAGCGGGAAAAAGGAAGAAATTCTGCATTGGATACATTTTAAAATGTCAGTTTATCTTCATTCTAACGTGTTTGCCGATGAATTGAAAAAACTGACAAATTTGCACCGACCTAATATACGCTTTGGGAAAACATGTAAGAGCTGAATATTGTTTGGCGATAGCAACTTGGCAATTTTCCATAATCTTACAAATCTTTGCCACAAGCAATGAAAGGTTTCTTATTGTTACTGGGCGTGTACCTGGCTGCGAGAGAGAGTGAGGTGAAGGCGCCTTAACAAGCACCCCCGACATCGTGTGAGGGGATTCAGAATGTTGGTTCATTGATTACGCTCACTTCACATTACTTTCTGCGGACTATCACGGTAAGTGTCCGTTTTGCAGTTGGATTTTTTTCTTGAAGTTTTCTTTTGACAGGTTATGCGGAATCACCAAAAATTTCCGTAATCTAAAAAACTTCTAAATCGTAGCAAGATGCATGACACAAATTTGGTATTGGTATCTCTTATGGAGCTCCAGCTCAAAGATAAATTTGAGTTCCCCACCCTTCTTCTTCTCTCAGCTCCCCTTTCTTCCAGATCTTCCCTCACTAAATTTCCTTGCCACAACTCCCCCGTACACTCGCTAGACATCAATTTCTTCGGCTTCAATCCCCACCGTATGTCGCCTGGTGCACTCCACTAGCCGTGTGATACCTTATCACCGCATCATCAGCGTTACCATAACGACAGCATATGTGTGCGTACAGCCACCGAGTAGCCGACCCCCCTCGATTGGCGTGTCGCCAAACTTCCTTGGCTGGTCCAATACTTTGGAAGCTTGCCAACTCCGGAAGTGCTTAACGCTGCGATCTCTCCGCGCATGCCATGAGTGCTGCTGCTGGTGCTGGTGCTACTGCTGCTGAACAGCATGCCATCGGCACGGCACCGGCCGTGTCAATGCTCGCGCATCGCCGCGTCCTCGTGCCACTGGCTATCTTCTAAATCGCTTCGTTATCCGGATTTTGCTAAGCTCCGCTCTCTGTGCTTCACCACTTAAGTAGAGATCTGCTTCTAGACGTAAGCATTAGGAAAAAAGTGATAAAAAGCTTAAAAGGCTGATTTATCCTACTTTTTATCGATCTCATATTCGATTTTTTCGGTTGGTCAATGTACGCCAGTATATTTGCTAATCGGATATGATAAGCAGGTTACTTGGTATTAAAACAGAAAATTCTTCAAAATTTTTTCTATAAGATCAGACCAAAACAGAAAGCAAAAGTATCTTAATCGATATGATTTTTGAACAAAGTTTCTTAAACACACAGAGTCCCGGACGTTGCTTGGCTCTAAAATCTTAGGCATAGAAATAAAGATGAAAGTCTAGTTAATTGAAAATTCTTTTCGGGCAATCTCGAATGCGGTAGTCACTACGAGCGTCAAAAATTTTTTCGAAAAGACAGTGATAAATTCAAACAGATTCTCTCTGGGAATTTATTGAAATTTTATGTAGCTTCTTGCTGATAGCTGGAAGAGTATCTCAAAAAAATTCATTGCATGTTTTCAGTAGGATCAAAACTCAGCCAAAATGATTGTAATCCTTTTTCCATTGTTCTGAGCCTCACCCCCAACTTCACTACCTTTATTGACTTATGGGAACTCTTACATAATTCTGTTTGACTCTAAGAGAATATAACGGCCATAGCAGGATATAAAAACTTCACAAATTCTACTAGATCTGCCTCAGAAGCTTAAGAATAAGCAGCCTGCAACTCCAAATACCTTCTCCTAGTGTCCAGCTGCTCGCAAGGTGACACACAGCCCAGGTTAAACGAGTATAATTGCTGGGGCCATTTAAGCGAGAGGGAAAGCCCGAGCGCGTTTGCAACAAGATTATCGAAAGTAGGCGCCGAGGCATTTTATTCAGCGATAGTGGTTTTTATTAAAGATTTGAAGCTTGGCTGACTCACACTTTCCTTCCTCTGACTCAACACAAAATATGTTACCTATAAGAGTGAAATTTTGAAGAATAGTTATAACTGGAACTGACAAAACCACTGAAGAGGCTTGACAAACTTTATCGAGATGATTTAGGTGCTACTATTAGCATATTGTTTGATCAATGTTAGTCAATTACATTTTTCGTTCTTCCTTTTTAGTATTTTGGTCCAGCATGAGTGGATTATAGACCAAATAAACGTAGAAAATCAAACAAATGCCACCAAATGATCTTACCCAACCCTATCTCACCTATCTTACCCTACTTTTCTTGAAATGGTCAAATGCGAAATTCATACCATATCGGAATTCATAACCATGAAAAATTATATTTTCACATAGGTACTAACACCAAAATTTTTCAGTGTTTGTGCATATTTTTATGAGAGAGTTGTTTGATCTCAGCATGGAACCAGAAGATATACTACTCGAAGATGAACGAGTTCAACGTCCTGTGCCCAAGGTATGTCAAAGTTCTTATTGGATAAGGGAACAACAGATTCTAGTTTCAGAAGCTTCTCTTATCAAAAAACGAGGAGCCAGGATCCGCAGGTGAATGTAAGTTTCAGGAGGAATTTCAAAAATAGAGTCTAAGCAATTTTTTGGCTTGCAAAGTAGGCCGTTCAAGATTGTCAAAAATTTGAAAGGTGGCAAAATCGTAGCGTCTTTCTCTGGGTTGTTGTAGGAATTTTTAGAGGAGTAATTACACAGATCTGAACGCTTATTATAATATTTGGAAGTGAGTGAGATAAGATGAATAAAACTTGAAAAACCTCATCTGCTTGAAGTCAGTGCTCAAGCAAATGCACAAAGTGGAAAAAGGACAACAATGCGAAATTCCTAGGACTCAGATTTAGAAAAGAAGGGTTATCCAATCATGCGGAAGCTCAAAAAATTCCTCAAAACTACCAAAGCAAAAGTGATAAATCTGGAAAAAAAATGCTAGAAGAAGTCAGCCTTCTTTGCCCACTCTTCTCCCACCTCTCCCCCCCCCCCCTCCCCTTCTCTTCCAACTTTTCAGCTCCCCATCAGGTTCTGGGTCAACTCAGTCGCCATTAGCTCTAAGCCATTAGCTCTGAGCCAAAAGTGGAAATTTGAAGACGTTCCATCCTGCTCCGTGCATGTGCGTGGCGCTGTTCGTTCAGGCGGCAGCAGCAGCGGGTACATGCCTTGGCTGTGCGAGAGAGACGTGGCGCTTCCGTTTTTTGCAATGGCGCCACCGTATACCAAACGATTTGAAATATTCGGGTGCACATATTAGTGAAATGCTGGCCGTTTTCGAGAAGATGCATTGATCCGCCCTCGAGCGGCTCGCTTTCCGGATTCTCCGCGTATCTTCCTCCCGATACGCACACCTACCGTCGCCAACAAGACGATTCTTTTGTGACAATGGACTTGTATAATGTACTACTGCAAAATGCTCAACCAGGTAATTTTCTGCTTCTTGGGCTAGGTTTTGGGGCCTAAATGTGCAAAGACTGGCATAGGCTTGATATGTAGTGACCTCAGGTGTGATCCCCGGCTGGACGGTGGTGGTGGTAGGGTGATTAGCACGCCCCACCTCTCTCTCTCGCTCCTATATCCGCTTGCCACCCAAAAGCACCCTGTCCTCAGCACCCATCTGCCTTCCTCATCGCTTCGATCCGGCCATCATATCATGAGACTACACCTTAGTGGAAAAATAGGTGGGAAGTTTGCCCTCTGTCAAAGCGCCTTTTATGGTCAATCTTAGCTCTTTGTCCTATTGTCGCGGCTCGTTTACCTCATATACCTTCGTGACTTTTGAGGTTGTTCTCATCAGGCATGCAACCCAGAACTCACGATAGTTGTTGCATTCGTGCGAAACAAAAGAGCGAATACATAAAACATGCTAAACGCCCTGTCCCACACACACCGCACAGATCACGGACTACACACAAACGGACTGGCTAATCGTGCACCCTACGCCGCCTCTGGCTGTAGATGTTTCCTTCCACCATATTTGGCTACAATACACTAATTGGCCTACCGCCTTCATACCCATGTAAGCCTAGCTAGACATAGAAAAAGTTCCCTCCACCACGCAAGAGGAAGTGCTTGCCCGTAAGGTGAACACACTCGCAGCTGGCGCTAGGCTAAGCTCTCTTGGCTCGTCGTCAGCTCGCGTTTCCGAGATACATGCTTTCTCACCCTAATCTTGCACAGCGGTCTTATGGAAGTCGTATCGATTCAGCCCCCTTCAAAAACTCACTTCTAGTTCTCTTTAGCATCTACATCTAGTAGAACAACTAACTTTCTCATAAGTCTTCAAATGATATTACTTCAGGTTCGGATCCGGGAGAACTACTGGAATCATCGGCCTACGCTACACCTGCGCCACATTACGTAACGGAGTTCGGCATGGAATATCCGCTATCATCGCATATCAACAATAATACGTAAGTGATTCAGATTTCAATGAAAGCGCGGAAGTGGTAAGGCGGGAGGGGGGGGGGGGAGGAGGGCAGAACCTTGAGTGCAGGAAATTACGTTCTTACCCCTATGATATATCATTAATAGGGTCTCCAAACAACGTAAGACTCTGACATTGAGCATGAAAATTTTCTTTTCCTTTGATGTGACCTCATAAAAGAACATTCTTTCACATTTGTTCGCAAAATATTGAGTCTAAAGTTTGGATGTTTTTTGTCTCTTAATGCTTCCCTCCCAAAAAAGTTGAACTTATAATTTGAGAAAAAACCGTTTGACTCATTCTATCCGAGTCAATTTCTGGCTAAAAGTCCATGGATCATCTTTCCTGAAGGTTGGTGAATTGCGTTGAAATTGCTTACCCAAAACTAATCTCAAAAGCTACAATCCGCACAAGTTACTCCTCGAAGCAATTACTCAAAAGAAGAATTGGGTTCGTTAACCTATACTTGCATTGAAAACTCATTATGCTCAGCTACCGTAGTTGTGGGGCGCAAGAGGCGCTCGTATGTCATCTACTATCCCATTCTGCGCCGGGAGTGACAAAATCGGAGCATCGTTTCGACGGAGGGATGGGTCGCGATGGAGACGTCTTTCAACTAGCTGTAGTCGGAGTCTATTTTGAAACAAATGGGTAGAAGTACGGGTTTTGGTCTGAGGGAGTTGACAGGTTGGGAAGGAGCTGTGGATCGTCGGGCAAGATGCGCGCGAGACCATGCGAAGGCGGTGGCGTACTGCCATGTTTTGCATGAAATGAGAGAATTTGAGGATGAATGTGAGAAAAGACGCAAGTGTGCCAAAAATTCTTCACGGTGCGGTTGTGACGAAGGTGAGGTAAGGCTATGGCCAACACATAGTGATCGGAGGTTGCCTTGGTAGTGTTGCCAAGGACGGGCGCAAGCTGTCGTCGTCGACCAGCAGCGTTGCTACAGCATCGCTTCAACAGAGTTAGACTCACGAACACACATTAACCATCCTCAAACACGCCATCTGTAAAAAAAAACTCCAGAGATTTTTTTGAATTTGACAGCACTTCAGCAGCGCTTCCATTCACATCTTACCCATGGGACTGGGAGCTGCGCGAGCTTACCCTGCTGAATTATCGCGGGTTTCAAGCGCGCACCATCACACAGATTCAAAACATCGTGATTATGCATAATGGTGAAAAAGCCCTTTGTATCCTCAATTAGCGGCGTTAAAAGGGCGGTCTGGTTCAGGCTGGTGTTTAAGTCCCTAAGGGCAGCCGTTGTAAGTCTTTAAATAAAACCCAAATACACGCTTTCAGAGAAGTTCTGGAAGGTTATTCAATTTGGCAACCAACCAAATTCCAATTAATATTAGTCACAAACTTTGCAAATTTTTGCAAAATCAGCCCATTGCAAAACTCACGTTGAAACAGACTATATCCTCCCGCTCACTGTCCTATTGTGACTTGGGCTTCCCAAAGAACGGAAGTCCACTATAGAACCACATAATCTCTTTGGGTTGATCATTCCGGCAGAGCTGCCATCAGTGAATTATATCTTCTGTATTCTTTAACTATAACCAAGTGCTCATCAATTACCCCTCCCCCCCCCCTCTACGAGTCCCGAGATGTTCAAAAGCCTGGCGCCATTCTGCCCTTGAGTCCTCGAGCCCAGCTTAAAATATAACCCTTGACAGAAGGAAGGGAAGCCCCTTTTGCATGTATTAGCGCAGTATATGATGCATATATTCGCAGTCAGCACTCAAACCTTTCCTACCATTGAACTTCAGCTATAACATGCGCGACCTACCCCTTTCCTTCCCTCCCTTCCCTTCTCTCCATTCATTCAAACTGAAAGCTGGCCCATCGCACTTGCGCATACGAAAACGTCAACTAAAACAGAGAAACGTTGAGAGGAGGAGAGAATATTTGGAAACTAGGATGAGGTGTGTGTTTCTATGGGACCGATTACTTGGCGACGACGGTCGTCTGGCCAACGGGGGGCTATGCGTGTCTCCAAGGCGATCTCTTTAGAGAGTTTCCACTGCTAAACGACGAAACTCTCGGCTATATAATTCTGATCCATGTATTCTGTATACCTTACTGCACTAGCCGTCTTATAGCCACGGCCTAGGAGCGCCGGTTCGGCGATGTTTTGTGGGTCTTCCCTGCATATGAGCAAGTCCTATAGTCTATAATCTAGGGGTAGAAAAACGAAAATTCAAAAATGATGATAGGGTGCAATAGTCATCACCTTTAATTTTTCAGCGCATTTCGAAATTCAAAGCTAAATGGACATCACCTCTAACTTACCCAAAACCTTTCGCAGTCTTACCCGTTGGCAGTAACAATACTGAACTTACCCAAAAGTGACGTCATTCACTTCTACCCTACTTCCAATGGAATTCCCCAATCAATCTTTTTACCACAAGTAATCCATAGTAGATAATAACTCGAAGCCTAATCTGCTGTCGCCAGCCATTATCTCAGAGGTAAATCTTCTACCCAGAACCTAATTGACGAGGTTTTGAGCCAGGTGTCCCATGCTCTGCGCATAGTCTTTGACTCGAATCACCTATTACCCGCCCACATAGCGCAAACTCACGCCGTTCGAAAGTGTGGTATCGCCCCTCCCTAAACCGCTCAATTTGCTGGTTTGACAACATTACCGTACGATGGTCCTTTTCAGTACCACTACCTATGTCTACACCGATAACAATCAGTATAATACTTACTATCAGGTAAGGATTTTCTATAACCATGTAGGGATTTGTATGGTGATTCGACTTTGATTTTTTCAGTATTCCGGAAATGTGCACTCTCCCACACAATCCTACATGATCCATGGCCACGGTTCGCAATCACCTGTATCGGTTGAGGACGACAACGCTGCCGGACTTGGAGCCGCTACCAGGGCTTCCCCAGCTACCGTAAGTGCTTACGAACTATGGCGAGCAGTGGCGGTAGCGAACGCAAGCGTCACCGATAATTAGTCGGCAGTTCTAGTAGAGCACGCAGTAAATTGCTGACCACAAAAGAGACAGATTAAGCCCCGCGCTCACCTGGCTCATGTTGTGACCCCTGCCAACGAGCCGCGGCTGCAGATGCGTTCACATGCCTCATTGACTCAACTGAAGGGAGTGCAAAACTGCCTATTCACAATAGGTCTCGCAACAGCAGTATTCCCCCCCCCCCCCCCTCCCCCCCCCACATATTCGCCCACCCTTTTGCGCTTGACGTGACGACATGTAACATTTCATAATGAAGATGCAACAGGTGCCATATGTGTCCGTCACTAATTGCTGCCTTGGCTCTTGCCCCTCATGAAAAAAGCGCCGAATATGGCAACGCACCTGTTTCATCTTTATGACATCCGGTCACAACAGCCGCGTAGGTGCGTCAGTGCTTAGACACACACACTCAAAATTGGAATGGTCCCAGGGATGCTACCCTTGCACTCGAGCTAAACCCGAAATGACCGTAACCCCGGCGGCCGCTATTGGCCGAGTGCTTATCGATTATGCGCGGCGCCAGACGGCTGCGAATTACGTCACACGAGAGCAAATCGAGGAGAACTCGAAATATGGGGCATACTGAGGGGGAAAATCTGATAAAAGCGCATACAAAGGTGTTTTGGGACTGCTCGGTGTTGTTTTCCTGCAAGGAAGAAAGCGCAGTAAATGCCAAGGTGCCCCAAATGCAAAGAAAATTCAGCCCAGCACTCTTTAATTGCAGCGTGTCCTAATCGAGTGTTATCTGTCAAAGATGGAGAAATTAATCAATCCCAAAAGAGTGCATATCTTTCTGTCAGTGTTTGGGTATCTTATGCACTGTGCTACCGCAGCTTTTAACTCACATCTTCAAACTGTTAATGTGAGCTTGGATTTCAAAGAGTTTTGGTGCTGAACAGCGTCATTCAGAATTCAAACTTGTTGACCATGCTTCAAATCTAACGCAAATTTATTAAGCTAGCTGTAGCTTTATGAGCAAAGCTTTTTGAGGGTTCTGCTTTTACCCTATACGATTTTCGCTTGAAGAGGACTAGAACTGTTTACAGCTCTATATCATACTTTCTTAATTGAGGAATTTTTCCTTTGAAAAGCGTAAACCGCTCTATAGCCAGCTTTTTGTAATGATTAAAATACAATCAACAATCGAATATATCTCTTTTATAGAGCAAAAAATTTTCCTTCAAACAAAATCTAAATGAAACTGTGCGAACTGTCAAGCTTCTTCGCAACATCTAACTATACAAATCATTCAACTTCCCAGTAAAGTTACTTGATATCGTATTCTTCTTGTATTTAAGGCTTTATTTCAAAGGCTGAATTGCTTTCCAAAACTACATCATTTGCCTGAATCAAACAATGACGTTTCACTAGGATGCAAAAACATTTTGATGCTAATTTATGTTTTTGTTATTGCTCATTTTATCCAGACATAATTTTTGGGCAGACTACGAAGCACGTTATACCCTCCTAATCTAAAGTTGATCATTACTCATGCTCTTTAAACTTTCGTTTGAAGGGAAAAGTAGGAGGAGTAGGCTAGTGCTTCTGACATAAAGGTTCAAATTTTGTCTCTTGATTATTTTATTTTAAAGTTGGAGAATCACTCATAATCAATAAGTCTTATGAAATTGACTCTGTATATACTAAGAATAATTTTTGTATGAGACTTATGTTCCGTTGGACTAATACATTTTGTGCCTGAAAATATAATAAGGGCTTTTTCGAGCTGCGCCTTACGATATTTAATCTACTCATATAAAATTTGTTGTATGTTGAATCTTATTATACACATAAGAGACTTGATCTCAGTCAAATTGAAACACTGCGTTAAAAAATGCAAGGGTTCTAGTAATGCGGGTACCCGGTAAATCGGCATTTGGTCATAAACAAAAGGAGATAAAATTGATAGATAATAATGTTTACAATTATAATATTATAACTTGAGAAATCCGTTTCGTTCCTATCTTTAGACGGAGTATTGTGTTGTTTCTATGTCATCCCCGGAACTCTTCAGTAAGGAAGGATGGCGGTATTTAAAATAACTCGTCTTTCTATATAAAATGACGTGAAATATGTTTTGAAAAAAAAATACAAACAACCTAAACATGTTTTGACATGTCATGAAAGCAAAGCCAAAACTATGTTCAGTAGCCATTTCAGCAATTAACTAGCGATTCAGAATTCCTCTTTTGGAGTCACACATTCCTAAAAAATGCAACATTTTTTCTTTGATATATGTTAAAACGAAGATTTTGTCGAAGTGGGTGATCATGAATTCCCACAAATTTTGGTGGAACTTATGCGCTGTATTTATCTTTTAGCAGATTGGCGACGAAAAGCTGCAGCCTTTCTTTTGCTTTTAGAGAATTCGCAAAGACTATAGTGCACTAAGTAGGGTGGCACGGTTTTTACGATGTCATACACTAAAGGAATGCATTGTGGATGTTGTTCACCTAGGCAGCGAAGTAGTGGTGGTGATTTTGGGCCTTCCGGTGCAGGGCCAACGTCGCCGTGGCAACTGGCCCAATTCGGCTACTTTCCACACTCGAATACTCTCTCGACAACGATAACTTTGTTCCCCACGCTCATCCACAGTGACGCCACGCAGCCACGGTTCTGCCGTTGACGTCGCCATCCGAGATCAGTGATTCTTTCCTAGCTCCACCGTAATTCTCACTCAAAATACCACTTCCTTTTCCCATGGACTATGACAGCCGATGATTTTGTCCGCATTGAACTCACACCAGAGACTAGGCTGCACGTAAGTTGCAAAAAAAGCTTTTAAAGTTGTTTGGTAGAAGGCTTACTCGCGATAACGTGGGCTATCAGAATGTGGTTCGATTGGTTGTGGTTCAAAACCCATTACTCAGCTCCTTCCGTAGCGTACATCTACGAATGCTCAAAATCACAAGAATCACAGATCTTTTACGAAGTTGTAAAGGCATGTCTACCTCTAGCGAATATAATAAGATGGAGATAAAATATCAATTTTGTGGGCATTCTTCTTGGTCAGCAAAATTTCTGTTATAAGTCTAATGATGATTGAGGTTTCCATTGCTCCCAAGTGGTCGATTTAGTGAGAGCGCCAGATGTGTATCATGTGATATATAATCTGGTCGAAATTCATCATCACAATTTTTTGATTAACAATCTGGGAATAAAATGATTGAAGAAAACTAGCGACTGCAAAATTTTTACTACAGATTTGAAGTCGTCTACTTTGAATTAAATTTGCAAAAAACTCGGGAAATTTTAGATGGCTGGTTTTGATAAAAACTGAGTTCCTCTCCCAGGTAATGCATATGAAAATGTTGAAGGACTTCTTGAATTATTTCAGTAAGATAATTCATTTAGCCGAGATGGGAAGTCACTCTCTTTCCAAGCTTTTAGCAATTGTCAAAACCGACATCTGGATTATGCAATAAACATATCATGTTGTATTATTACTGTCGAGGCATTCAAGTATATGCAGTATTTCAAATATTTCAGATCCAATGGCTTTTGGACAATTACGAGACAGCTGACGGAACTTCACTTCCACGTTGTGCACTATATGATCACTACAAGAAGTGAGCTCTTCTTTATAAATTAATCTTCTCCAATCATTTCATTCTCTTAGTCATAGACCTTAATACAGTCAGAATCTTTTGTAACCTCTAAGCTGTATGAGGGTGTCGAAATATGCATAAGCCGCAGACGGATATGGTAGCGAAGCCATGCGTTGCTATTGGTAACCGAGTGCATTGAACATTTCTCACCAGCTGGAGCTGTCAGCTGAGAAATGCGAGGGATGCTAAGGTCAAGATAGTGGAGTATAATGGTGACTGTATTCATAAGTCTTACAAGGGAAGGAAGGTTGGTCGAAGTGGCCTTTTGAAATGAGGTGTATACTGCCTCGTAGAGCTTGGAACGCTGATTCCAAATCTACCTTTGCTATCTGCTGAGGGCTTCTGGGCGAGGAGTTATGAAAGTTTTTGTGAGTAAAAATCTGAATGCAAAAAGAGGGTAAAATCGGTCGTAACCTTTTCCCAATGTTCAAATGAGGCAGCAGCGAATTGGTATATTTGAATCAAGAATATTTGTTGCACCGAGTGACCCGACTATCAATTAAGCCCTATGAAAAATGTTACGACTGATTTTAGCCTACTCTTGCATTCAGATTTTTACTCACAAAAACCTTCATTACTTCTCACCCTGAAGCCCGCAGCAGATAGCAAAGGTAGATTTGGAATCAGCATTCCAAGCTCTACAAGGAAGTATACATTTCGTTTCAAAAGGCCACTTCGACCAACTTTCCTTTCCTTGTTAGACTAATCTGGGACACTGTTCTCGTAGCTACCCTATCTAATAAATCCCCGCTCGAGTCTATTTAGAATGACCTATGGGATTACTTCGGATTGTAGAACAGCTAAGAATGGCAACGAAAGATTTATAGTTCCTTTAAAAGTGCAACGTGCACATGTAGTGCGATTTCTACAAAAGCGATTTATTGAAAAGTTCTGAAAAATACGGACAGTTTGTACTGAATACTGTATTTAATTTGGTCAAGCAAAATTTCCTCTTGAAATTTCTACCAAAGTTCAGTGTTTACCAGCCTGATTTCTAACCTTTTCATGTGAGGTTAAACTCAGGGCTCGGCACGAGGTGACTTTCTGAAAATGCAAAAAAAACGAAGTCCTCCTTGACTTCCCCAAAATTTTATGAAGTTCTTTTGACCCTAAATCATAATCCTGAAAAGGTGTAAAAAAAACGAAACGTCGACCAAAAAACGTCGCAAATTTGATGTCTTTTCGGCCACAAAAACGTAACCCCCTTTGCTCTTTGTCCCGAAAACGATATCCGGCTTGCTTACCAAGCCACCTGTGCCGAGAGCCCTGAATACAACTTCAGATGTAATTCTAGGCAGCAATTTTACGACTTCAAAAATTTCCATTCTCTCTTTTCTAGACACTGTCACGAGCACAAACTCGACGCAGTGAACGCGGCTTCGTTTGGTAAACTGATTCGATCGGTGTTCAATGGTCTTCGTACAAGACGATTGGGAACTCGTGGAAACTCTAAGTATCACTACTATGGGATTCGAATCAAAGCCGACTCACCACTGATGCAGTCTCACGTTCCGGAACGCTATTCCCCTCATGAAGCATCGGCTCCGATGAGCAGGCCGTAAGTTTGAAACTGTCAAGTTTTGGGTAATTATAATGGGTGAAGGGAGCTCTTTAGTAGAGTTCAAAAATTTGTGATTAAGGACGTCAACCTTTTTAGCCGTCGAATTGAGCTTTTCTAGCAGTTTTTGGGCATAATTGATGCACATGATTGGGCTGTCCTACAAAAATGACTCAAAAATCTTTAATTTACGAATTTTTCAATTCATATATTGCAAGGCTATTTATACAGGTCCTTGAAGCGTCCCAACACAGCGATGTCTTCAGTGCAGAGTAGCAGGCCAGCAAGCAGGTGAGAAGATTTTACATTTTGCAAGAAATGAGCGTAAAAAGAGCAAAATTAGCGAGTCCGTGATAAAATGAAATAGTTGCCTCTAACACTTACCCTTTGATTCTTACAATACAGTACGCGTGTAAAATCTTCTTGATTACTAGCTTCCTCTGATATTTCTGTCGGTGCTACCGAACAAAAAACTGCAAAGCGTGTAGCATGACTTCTGCAATCAGCATAGGATCTCTTCGGAAAGATTAAGTCATGAATCTGAAGCTACGAAAATTTCGCATTTTCTGCAGCGTTTTATCAATCCAGATCAAAACTGAATCTTGTATTTTCCTTCCGTTTTCCTCTCTGGAGCCTCCTTATGCTGGTATGAAAGGCCTACACAATGCTGTCATAAGGAACATGGCTTCACCTTTCTTATTCATGCCAAGAAAAACTGTGAGAATGCTAAAAAGCTAGAATTTTTCAAAAACACAGAAATTTTGGATCGACCTTCAATAATATCGTGTCGATGTGTGGCAGAACTCGAAACCAATCTGATGCGAGACTAATTTCTCTAAGGACCTAAAATAAAAATTTTTTTCATTCCCTCAAAGTATTTCTGCATTGTTGTTGTTTTTGGTTCACTTTCTCTACAAACATTCTTATTTTTATTGCATGGCATGCTCTGCTGTGATAATTGCTAACGCTAGAAAAAATTTTATTGCAAAATTTCCCGCTTTGAGTGCCCTATTTGTTCATTTCAGAACTGCAGCGTTTGATTTGCTTGTGATGTACTGAGATATGCAAAGGTTTCATTAGTACTTGTTGGAATTGCGACTTTTAATTCAGTGCGAATGCTTACTGGAGTGGATTTACGTTTAGACGAACACTTTTCATCGTCCTCTCAGGCTTTCTTGCAAAAATAAAAGACCCTTTACATCATGATCAAGCACGGAAAAGCATCGAAATGATTGGACCTTCATAAGTACTCGGGGAAGGGCGACACTAGCCACATTTTTCAAATCTTTTTGGATTTTTCTTGGAATTTCTAGAGCAACGTGACGAGACCATGCCCGGAAATCAACAGCTAATTTGAGCTTTGTTCGAAAAAAATTTTGCGTTTGTTCATTCCATTTCGCAAGTTTTCAAGATTTTTCCAATTATTCACGAAGACAAGTCACAGCACAGTTATATAATTCATGTAGACTACCTCGTGATAACTTCTCCTCTTCTCCCTTCCCCACAGCTTAGTCGCCACCGTCTGCTTCAAACAGTGTTCTTACTCCTAAAAATATGCCGATTTCTAAGCAATGGTAGTTCGTAAGAGACGATGAATAAGGAAGATTATTTCAACACATGTCCTCTCAAGTAGGATACATTTTTGAACAGAAACGGATGAGAACAAGCGGACATCTCTTTCTACATTTCTTTCACGATCATGAATGGAATATAGAAAGAGCGGTGACTCAAGTATGTAGGAGAAGTTGAAAGTTTAGAAGAATTGAACAAAATAGTGAAAAACGACTAATAGATTACACAAGTGGCAAAACACTTTTTAGAGTTGCATAAAAATTATCTTAGTGGTCTAGTTGAAGGTTATATAGAGAAAGCAGCAATTCCGATTCAACAAAAGGGTCACTAAAACTATTTTACATCAGTCAAACAATTCTGGACTCTACTACATTTTGAATGCTTACAAACCCCATATCAAATTATATGGGGTTTGTAAACAAAAATATAGCAAGTGAGTTTCGTCAAAAAAAAGATATCTAGGATTCCTTTTGTTCTCGGACAACTTTTGAGTTTATCGACTCCCTATTGCAGCAGCCCAGCTCCACAACCATCTCCCAATGTTCCACCACCATCAGCCGTAAACGGACATTCAAGAAATGAAGGTACAACACACAAGATTTTTTGGAACCATGGTATAAGCACTTCTTCCAGCATCAGACGCTGACAGGCTTTCGTTGGGGAACGGTGAGGTGCCATTTATCCAGACTCCACAAACGGATGGTCTAATGGAAGCATTGCCGAAGCTCGGTCTGGAATTGTCGCACGTTGTGATGTTTGTCAATGCCTACAATCATAATTGTTCGGTGAGTTTTTGAGGATAGATAATGGATAAAAATGTTGGAGAACGAGGAAATGGATGTAAAAAATGAACCAAAACGATTTGATGTGAGTCGAGAAATTATGAAGAGGGTGTAGTTCGCGGTGAATCATTCCGCACAGAAACTCATCAATGGTTTGTTCTTGTAGCTTGTTCATAGCACAAAAAGTAGAAGAATTTTGAATCTAGAGAGGGCATAAGTCAAAAAATACTCGAAAAATAATGCTGGCCCCCCGCGCTGTATACAAAACTTGAAAGTTCTCATATTGTTAGAAGGGTAGTCTTTTCCTTGGCTCTGAATGGAACAAAGATTTTTTGATCTGAAACAAGCCTACAAGAAAAGCAAAAGCAGCAAGTCTATTTCCTACCATTTTAGGAAGTCCTATACTGCGTAAAGCAGCTCCAATTTGAGCAGATCGAAGAATACTGGACATCGTTTTGGCAGCCCGAAGATGATCTCGACGACGAAGAGTAAGCGATCACGCTAAAGAACATGGAAAGCAACACTTATTCCAGTGATTTCAGCAAAGCGCTCGGCCAAGCTCGCCTTTCGCAGCAGCAGCTGTTCTCACTCTGCACTTTGCCACAAATCCAACACTGGATTGTTTCGCTGGATTTGGCATTCTACCAAACTCTCGTCGATATTCTGGTCCCAGATGTATTGATGAGCAATATGTCGCGTGAGTAAGAGAGTCATATCTCATTAGTAAGATCTGATTGTGAGTCAAGTTTGTTTTTTCAGCATTCCTGACTCAATCGTGCCGAAACTTCGCCAAGAATGTTGAGCACTATCTCAAAAAGGCTATGCAAGGAGCTCCAGAAATTATCCAAAAGAAGAAAATTCAAGCTGTCAAATATATGGCACAGGGACTTAGAAGGTACTACTGCTCATACTGACCTTTTTCTTCGAAGACAATAAGTACCTGCTCTTGGCAGTCAAATGATTGAAGATTGTGAAAAGCCTCAATAGCCTATAATATTACTTCGCTGACTTATTGATATCTTACAGATACACATCTCTGAATCACTTGGCGCAAGCTGCTCGTGCAGTTCTACAGAAGCCGGACCAAGTTACTGCTATGTATAATGACTATATTAGGTAAGATCATCTTATTTTATTTACTGATGAGTGTAATCGTAGCGGAGCACGCGGAAGGCGACAATGCGCGCAAAATGCATTGTAAAATCGCTCTTTTTAGTTTCTACAGAATTTTACTTATGGCATTGAGTCATGTGTCTGCACCCACCCCATCCCCCTACCTTGGCGCCGTTCACTTTAGCACCGAAGAGTTTTGGAAAGCACAAAACTTGGGGATTGTCGCCTTCCGCATTACACCCATCGTAGCTGAGCCTTGACCGTTATGTGAAGAGAACCAATTTTTCGCACATACGAAATGTATTGAAAAAGAGTAAAAACTGAATAATATTTGAACAAAGCAATTCTTTCTTTCCAATATATTCATTCCTGCAAGGTTTTGAGAATGTAAAACTTTGATGACGCCATATTCTTTTCGCGAATTTTTACACTCTTGATTTACTTTTGCACCTTCCTTTTGTTTGAAGTTTATCGCATGCATGAGTTTATTATATGTAATCTAATATCGATAAGTGACTCAAAATATAGGCTGCCCGAAGCTCAACCGCTTGATTTATAAAGCCAAGAACTCAACAAAGAAGATTCATTCCTTGTCGGTCACCCATTATTTCAGAAATTCTGGGTTGAAATGCGCAGGATAGCTGAAAATATAGTAGTGGACTTTTTTTCTGATAGGCTAAGGCTGAAAAAAATAGTGGAAAATTTCTGGCAAGTATGAGTGTACGCACGGTTCCTATGTCCTTAATTTTTTCCGAAGATCCGTGAAGAATTGACCTTTCAGTTCTTATTATTAACGCTAACTGCACAATGAACTTTCTTGAATTTTTTCTAAAGCCCTGCTCGGGTAGTAGAATGTAAGTCGCACTGTGTTGTTTGCAATAGAAGACTTTTTGGAAATTTTTATCAAAGTGTGATATACTAGATTTCGGTCATAACCATTATCTATGCATTCATTATTTGACAGCCGTCTTTTACGAACTGATACTATCTCCACTACTAATTTTCACTTTTTCCTCCGGTCTCAGCTTGAGTGACAGATGTTAATTGTTCACAAACGTAACATATTTCAGAGTGGACATGCAACAGGTGCAGGAGCAAGCCGGATGGGTAAGCGGATGTGACTCGCTCATGGTTCACCACATCCATAACGCGTTCAAAGATAACCTGCAGAAAATGGCCCCAATGGAAGAGTGGGCCGAATGGCTTGAGAGTATCGTAGATCAGGTTTGTTGAGAAGTAAAAGGTTGACTCCTCTGCAAAAACGTCTGCTTCAGATTCTGGCAAAATACCACGACAAGCCAGTGCAAATAATCTCAGAAGTTGGAAAGCAGTTTCTACTGAACTGGAGTTGTTACACGTGAGTGATTAGCTTAAATTCGAGAAAGTTCTCGAACGATATATTTATTTTGGTCAGAAATGCACAGAAGTCTTTGAAAATAAAAGTTTTGCACTTACCATCGACAGCCATTGTGTAACGGATTTACTTACAAAAGAGATTCGAAAGGATAATAATTTTTTTGAACCGAATTAAATCCTATAGCATTTTTAGGTCAATGTTGATCCGTGATTTGACGCTACGATCTGCTGGATCCTTCGGCTCATTCCATCTCATACGATTACTCACTGATGAATACATGGTCTACCTAGTAGAATCTCGTATCGCCAAAGCAGCCAACAGAGCTATGATAACCGTAATCAGTCAGGTACGTCTTGCTTGAATTTTGTAGAAAAACTGATTTAGGATTTTTATTAATAAAATTCCTCTATGCAGTTCAGTGGTTAAGAACTAGGTATGAACGCGAATGAATTTTGAAAACTCTTTAATGAAAGAAACTGTTATTCTTGATTTTTTTTTGATAAGACAGATCAGATCGCTTGACAAATTGTTTGCGAATGAAACTTTGATATCATGGGAAGCATGAAATCGCGAGTTACAAAAATATTATTACTATACACAAAAGGATCGGTTCAAAACCATTTTAAGAACTATGTCCAGTATTTGTGATAGCAGTAGAATTGCATTGATTTATCAGTCAAAGCATTTTGCTTCATCTCCTTTGATAGAAATTTGTAAAAGTTCACATTCATCGGAGGTAGCTTGGAATGACTCTGAAACGTCCTAAGCTTTTGATGATATTTTAGATATTCTGAATTTTAGCCCACTGACTATCCGCTTTTTGACGATGCTCTCCCGCCTCTGCCGCAGATGACATTGAATCAGCAGTACATTATTCCCAGTCGTCCATCAGAACATATTTACGATCAAAAGGTAGGGTTTGGTATTTTCAAATCATATGTTGTAATTTAGAATATATGTCTTTGTTTTTAGTTCTCACTACAACGCACGATTGACCGTCGGCAAATGCCACCAATGGGATCAGGTGAAAAGATTTTTTCCCTCGATTCTTCGTTTCTGAAATGCCACTTTTCTAGAGATGCTTGAGATTGGAAACAAATCAATGTTAATCTGAAGAAAAACTCTGTAATCGGTCTATTATTCGAATCCAGATAGCTATTTTTCATGTAATCCTCATTGTAAATAAGATATTCCATCGTGTGCATGTGGATATTTGTCGAAAAGCAGAATATTATCGTAACGATCTCATCTATACCATTTGTGCTTCTTTTTGATTGCTTTGTGATTGTTGAGCTTTACTGCACATATTCACAAATCACATTTCATCTGTGATAAATATCATTCTCCCTGATCTCGATAATGAATATTTCGGACATAAACTTAATTGTTACAAAAGAGTGAAGTGGGTATCCAAATTGGCGTCACTAAATTTAGGTCTTGTTCTTATGCTACTCTAGAAAAAAGAGGATTACGCGGTTGTGGTGCGAAAAATCCAAACTCACGAGACGTTTATAATCAGGGCTTACAAGCTACTACCTGAGGGTTATTGAAAATGTTGTTATTTTTGCCATCAGATTACATTTATCTTTGAAAGCATACAGAGCTATAGAATCCAATCAAGCTGTAGCGCATAATGTATGAAGAAATGGAAATATCATGCAGAGTTGAGAAAGGAACAATGTCTATTTTCATGATATCCGGTGTCACAAAACAGGACAATATGAAACTCAAGGCCTCTGCTCCATTCTCCCAGGGAGAATGGAGCAGAGGACTTGGGTTGGCCTGTGTATCAATAATTATTCTTGAAAGCGATCAGTCATCTTTTTTTCCATCAAAGCACTATAATAATCTTTCGCCCACTTGGGTATTAGCGACAGAGCGTGAATGTAATGAATTCGCGGTGGTATTCTTATTGTTAGTGAAATTGTTAATGCGAGGGTGTTGTGTAATGTGAGGGTATAATGCATTTATGTAGCACTTGCAAAATGTAATTATGGCTATATGTTAAGATATCCTTTTCAACATTCCTTGTGCCATCCTTGCGCAGTCATAAAAACAAACAAGCATGCAATTTTTTGTTTTTGCTGCCTTTATACATAGTTTCATTCAACGTCTCATGACCTTACACGACTTTAACATTTGGTTGATCAGTGAAATAACAACAAAGGAAGTTCATGGAAATATAGAAAAAGTGCTTTATTGCGTGGTTCCTTCCTCGGGAACAACTTCGAATCGCCCAACCGTTGCCTTTCGACTGCGGCAGTAGAAGTACGTGCCAAGAACACTGAAGATAGTGTAAGTGAAACTTTCAAATTAAGTACCCTAATTTCACGAGTACAGGACGCACCCCTTTCATTTTTTTCGACCAAGCAGCTCAGCCACATCACGAGCCTCGCGGAATGGTTGCTCTTCCACACAATACTTCTAAGTAAGGAGCAGCATGGTGGAGTGTCTTTTGGCAGCAAAATTTTGTATTGTGCTCAGGCTGTTCGAGTTTAGGAAAAAATCAGGTTCGTCTTGTACTCGTGAAATTAGGGTAGTTTACTAAAGTGAGGAAAAGGCAAAGTTTTGATTTCTGTTGCGTTTCAAAGGCAAAAACTACCTCAGCAGCAGATTTTTTTGTAAAACATAAAGCAACTTGGAAATAGCAAAATAATTTTTTATTTTTGTTAGACTGTATGTTATCTAGAGATCAAAATCAGGTTACCTGACTGATATGAAGCACAGAGACACGACCAACGCGATAATCTCCAACAAGTTGTTGCGGACGACAACTCGATGTGGAGTCTGTAATCACACTGTTTTTTTTTAGCTTATTCCAAAGAAAAAGCATAAACAGCAATTGAGCTTGACCGAGGTGGCCGCAATTGATGAAGATTGCGCATTGCCTGCACTAACTTGATTATACGTTCAAAGCTAAAGCATCACTGTTATGATGTGTTTGCCCTTACTTTCGTTGTCCCGTTTGCTGGTTGTTTAGTAGCGGCATACAATCGCTGATAATCGCTTTCCAACATCACTGTGCATCGTTCCAGATTTTGTACGGTACGGAAGTACGGACATCCCTAGAACGAAGTAGCATTTTGCGTTCACAAACATCATCGATGAAGAGTGGAATTTGTGCATGTATGGTCGCATAACTTAAGTATAATCTACGTCAACCATGTACTCCCTTTTCCGTAGAAAGTACGAATCCGCATCGCATGGGCATTGCTCAACGATCTCCAATCGATGAAGCAAATTTGAGGCTCAAGCGCACGCCCACGATCGCGGCGCATGTCATTAGCGTTGCGCTCAAGCCGATCAGAAAGGGAGCACATCGTTGACACAGACTGTATAAGGTCTCGTCTTACATCGTCAATCGCTGCGAAAATATGAATTTTGGAAGTTTGAAATTGTAGTGCTTTTACGAGTCTCACTTTTACAAGTTTCACTTCGTGAGAAAACTTGACTCGATTGCGCTATCAAAACATTGCCTACGACTATTGCACATCAGCGCCATTCATTACTCTCCTTTTGTTATTTACTGCATTTTTATTGAATTTTGAAATCTGCACGTCTTCGGACATACTTCCGTAAAAACTCTACTCACCACCGACGGGCAGAAGTAAGAATCCTCGGAAAATACCACGTTTGAAAAGTTGTAGGTTGGTCCAGCCAATAATCTATTCCATAACCATTTTGCAGCGTACGTGTGGCCTTTCCTACAAAATCAAAAATGTTTTCCAGCGGAGCTGTTTCATATGGACCACGTTATAAATGAATACAGAATTCTTGTACCTGTTTAGCAGAGGCTTTCCCGGAACAAGGAGCGATTCAGGTTCTCTGGAGTGTATGGGAAGTCGAGCAATGGCTAACACTCCGAAGGTTGCATACTTCAAGCTGTTGAACTCATTCTGAAATTTAATGCACAGTGTAGAAAATCTTGATAATTTTCTGGTTATTTCCATAAGTATAAGACAATATGAACATTCATGAACTTATGACCCCAATTACCCTAATTTCACGCGTATAAGGCGCGGGGGAATTTTTTCCAGAATCGACCAGCCTAAACACGCCAAAGGATTTTACAACCACAGGAGCCTATAACGTGCTGTCTACTGCTTGAGAGAATCGTGCGATGTAAGGATTTCTTTCCGGAATAAAGTGAAGCGGCTGAGCGACTCGCTTGAAAGCTCGAAAAAGTGCGTCTTATACGAGTGAAATTAAGGTACAATGTATTCTCGTACCCGCTGCTTTGGCCGTATTAAGGCAGCAGGATTTCATAATTAGGCTTCTAAACAAAAAACTCTTTCCTATATTTTCCAAATGTTCTAGAAAATTATAGCCCCGCCTTGTGACGAATTTAACATTAAAACTACAGTGAAGTTTAAACTTCTCAACTTACACTGGATTTCTGTCACAAGCCTATCGCAAAAACAACTACGATAATCTTCTGCAATATAATACACTTTCATTCCAATTCCAAAATCGTAAAAATTATTGGCGAAGTTCCGTTATTACGGAAAAACCTTGCCTTTGGAGCATAGAAAGAGATTGAGACAATGTTTTTTTAATGAACAGTGGCTTGCAATCCAATTTCAATATAATTAAGCGTGTTATAATAAAGCGTTATAATAAAACGAGAGAGCCGTCTGTCTCTTCTTGAGTGCCTCATGTCTGTCTGTCACGAAATTCATAGAGCGAGCTGTAGACAACTTTTCCATAGCAAACACTACCAGCATGAATTGTACTAGCACGAGAACGAGTCCGATTTTCGGGTCTTTCAAAAATGCGCAATGAGTTTACGCTGCTTTTGCCTCGTAACTGGGTCGTTATGGAATTTTTTGCAAAATCATAAATTTATTCAACAAGTAAGTCTTCAGACAATGACCTTTACACTAAAACAATCTGAAATTCTTCTTTATTGTGAAAAACGATGCGAATAGAAGTAAGTGCGCGGATCGTCGATGTCCCATGTAACTCTAACGAAAGAAACATACGGATAGTAGCCAGTGGGAACCTCCGCGGAGTAGAGGTCAAACACTGGTAGTAAAATTGAATTCATGGGACACACGTGAGCTCTACTCCTGTGTCAAAATTTTGGAAGGAATGAAGTCGATGGCAAAACCTGTCAATTTTTGCATGGTAGCATACTGTGTAGGTACAATGGTGCACCCCCGATGTTAGATCCTTTACCCTCTATGACGAAAGCACGCAAATCAAGCATAACGAATGACTTTTTAGTTGATAACATCAAAGAGTACCGTAGTTGATGATTTTAAGAGTTACCTGAACTTGCACAAATACGTCCTTCCATTCGTGAACAAGTGACCGATACTTAGTCATGGAAATCGTTTCCAAACAACGACAACGCGATCTGCAGTTTAAGTATTTTGTACCGAAATGAAACGGATGTCTGAGCTTTTAACTTTGTAACAAACACAAAAAAATCCCTTTTTCGAATTACGAAAATCGAAGCTCTTCCAAAAACGCCCAAAGTAACACTACCTGTGTCTATATTTTTTCGATTAATTTCATTTAATTCATTCTTATACTTACTTGAGAACATTAATGTTAGTACGTCGTGACGATGCTACGTGTACAGGACCCAACAGTACCACAAACAGTTTCGGTATCGCCTTGCGGAGAATACCCATGGCACGTCGTATGGATGAATGGCTCGGAGTCTCGCATCGATTGCAGAACTCAAATCACCACTTTAGGCTGCGTTCATACTGATCCCGAAGTCCGGGAACAGTTCCAGCATAGCGCTTACTTTAAGCGTTGTGCTGGAACTGTTCCCGGACTTCGGGATCAGTATGAACGCAGCCTTTAGTGTCCTGAACGGTTACAGCTATTTCAGAGCCTACCTCTTCAGTCCCAGTAGCAATTACGAGCAACACCCATTTCTTGCTGAGTTCGTAAGGAGTCATGATTGAGCGTAAACGACGCACGAGCTCAGTAGCCTGGAATTTTACAATCTCAATCGTATGCAAATAGATTACAAGCGTATTTGATTCTAACAAACCTGCTCTGGAAGATCTTCAGTTTCCGTGTTTGATTCGGCAACATTCAGTTGGTAGTCTGGCAGTCGACTTCGCTTACCCATTCCATGAGAGACACCTTCCACTTGTTCATTGAACTCCAGCAGAATATCTGGAATGAGCTCAATTGGTCAAATTAGATTTGATGCACCTTGCGCAGTTGCACTATATTATAAGATTCACTCCTTTTTTAAACAAGATTTTTATAATTCCAAGTTAACTGTAGCAAAGTCAATTCTATTTTCAAAATAATTCTCAAGAAATCATGTAGCTAATTCGACAGGGTTTCAAAGGATAACAAAATCGTTAAATATAAATGAGATAAAACTAGAAATGGGGCATCCACTAACTCCATTTGGAACAGGATACAATTATCGAACTGCTACTTTATATTTAGGCGAGTACCTCTTTGTTAAGATGCCCTCCATGACGAAATGCTGAAGGTTTCCAATCAAAGAAATTTTTTCCGAGTTTTTTTTGCACCGCTATTTGAAACTTCCCTGTTTTTACTGTTAGGACATTCTGTTCAACTGTTTGTACTGTCTACCCGAACTGGTTTGCTACTTCCACACAACTTCGTTCATTGTGTAATTTCGGCACTTTTCATGTTTCTATAAATATAGAAAAGAAATGATGATTAGTTGAACTTTTCAGAATAATGGAGGTTTTTTCAAGCATTCACATTATCCAAACTTCCCTCCCTTGGTAAAAAAACACCACTCACTCGGTATAGTGACTAGTCCATCGATATTGGCATCACCTCCGATAGGAAACGCTGCGCCACGAAATTCTACTAGAGTTCCCTCCCATAAGCCACGACCTGCCTAAAAAATTGAGTCATTTTGAAAATAATTCCATGTGTGTGAGTTCCAGCGGGAAATCGTATTTGGTCTATAAAAAAGGGAGGTCACATGCTGTTAGAACAGCAAGCTAAAGCGAACAAGGAAATGTGATAATTTGCACTGCGACGATGACAGCGACAGTTTGGAAATCAGTGAGTTTAGAAAGTCGAAAAATTGAACAAAAGAATTTTAGGACGAAACTCATAGAAGATCCTACCGGAAGTGCATCACCCATAGCGGCAACGATGTCGATATCTTCAGGCGAAAGATCTGCTAATGTTTCTCCCTGCAAAACTCAATAAAAATTTTACCGAAGATCTCAAGTAAAATTCTTTTACAGTGTGCAGTAATGGTTTAGCCCGAGGACAGGAAAAACTCTGCTTATTGGAAAATGCACTGGAAATCTGCCCAACAACCAAGTTTTTTGAGGATCTGAAATTGAATAAATTCAAAAACTAATGAAGTATCATTTCGACCTGAAAACAACAAACTTCATAAAGAAACAATTCGCTCTAACTGTAACCTGGAACTATCGTCATCATCGTCATCATTGTCATCATCATCGTCTTCCTTGTTTCGAACGCTCAGGGATCCCCTGTAGTGTGTTCTTCCGTCAGAGTCTTCCGCGCTTCCTCTGTTGTATACTTCCTTATCGTTGAACCGAACATGGCTCTGGAAATGTTTTAATACTGTGACATACTTTTTGGCTGGAAATTTCATTGGTTAGAGAAGAGCTATGGGACCAAGGAATGTAAGTAGATCTGACTCTATGTATTATATGGACTCTAGCTTTGTGGGAAGGTTGGAATAATTGCCAAAAATTATAAAATCAAAATGTCCTGTGCGCAATTGCGTCTGTAGACAAAAAAAAAGAGGAAAGTGTGTTCACCAAAAAGCTTAGTAAACTAACATTTTTAGCTTGAAGCATCAAATGCAAAAAAGTAAGTTGTGGATTGCTTATTTTCTCATCTGTTGATTCTGTTTTAATATTTTGATTTTTATGCTAATATTAAAACATTTTTGTGGCACAGTAACTCCTTTATCATGACCCTTTGCTGATCTAGCTCAAAATAGCATCTTTCACAGTAAGAGATTTACGCAGGTTTTTATTCAGTATTATAGAGATCTACAAGATAATAACCAGGGTCAAGCAAGGGGTGTGACACACGATCGCTGGTTACGACCCCCTCCCCCTGATTGCTGTCTTAATAAGACCCCCCCCCCCCTGAATTACACACCTAAGATAGCATTATTTGAAGGCCCTGTCAAACATAATGGGCAACATATCCAGAGCATGTCAATTAACCCCTGTAGACAAAGTTTGAGCGAAGTCTGAAGATTCAAGATACTAGGCTACCTAAGTGAAATGGTCTTTTCCCAACTTCATTAACTTTGTTTTAAAGGTGAACTAGCTTCCGTTTTTGCACTCAAGACAAAGCACTACTCCTTTGCCAATCTCAGAAATTCCGCTCCAAATGATCCCCAAACTGTGGAATTAGAAGCCAACCAAAATCTCATTTTTCCCATTTTTCGCTTTTAACGGCTAACTTTCACCAAATATTACTCAGAGCTAAGAAGACCAATCAGGCTTAAAACATACCTATGGAATCTACGAGGTTTAGGCTATCGATCCATATAGATACTGTTCGCTAAAAATGTTTTTTGATATAGTTAATGGGGTGTGGGGCACGCCCTTAAAAGCTGTAGCTGTAGATTCCTTAGGAATGTTTTAAGCCTGATTCGTCTTCTTCTGAGTAATATTTGATGAAAGCACAGCCATTTAAAGCGAAAAAAGGGAAATATGAGATTTTGGTTGGCTTCTAATTCCACAGTTTGGAGGTCTTTTGAAGCGGGATTCCTGAGGTGGACAAAGAAGGAGTAGTGCTTTGTCTTGAGTGCAAAAATGGATAGCTAATTCCCCTTTGAAACAAAACTAATCATGTTGGAAAATGACCATTTCACTTGGGTAACCTAGTATCTTGAATGTTCAGAACTCGCTCTTTGTCTACAGGGGTTAGTGACATGCTAATTATGGATATGATACGAATATCATGTCATTATTATGATCATATTACTCAACTACGACCTCCTCTCCTTTTGACACCTCAATACGACCCCCAGGTGTGGCGTGCCACACCCCGCGCTTGACCCTGATAATAACTCAAAATTCATTCAAAGAGAATGTAATGAAATTCAAGAATGTTTCTTTCTTCCTTAAGAGGGGCACAAATAACAGGGCTCAACTCGTAATCAGTTTTTGAATTGCAAGGAATTTTGGATGCTCTGAGAATTGTCCTGACTATTTGCCATTCTTATTTCAGTTCAGTTTTTGGAAAACCACAAAATTTGGACCATGAAGCTGCTTATGTTTGCTCATAAGCAAACAACGGAAGATTAAAGATACAAATTACTAGTTTGTTTCAAAAGTTCTGTCCGATCTGCGATTTTTTTTCCATCTAAAATCTTATAACTCTTACAGTGTCATACAGTCAATCTTACAGTCACTCATTATAAAATATTCCACATTTAGTTTTACGAATACTGCGAAAGTTCTCTTCACGAAAACTTTTTCTTGGGCATCTGCATTTTGGCAACTTTGCTTCGGGGCTTGAAAATTCATCACTGGAAAGTTGATTTGCTAAGCATCAGTGAGCATCGTAAAGAACAGGAGAAGTACTTTTAGATAATGTTTATGACAATGCCATAAGTGCAATCCCTAAGAAAATAGCCGCGTTAAAACAAGACAACTGAAAATCGGACAGAACTTTTGAAACAGCCTAGTATATCTCATTGTCCTAGTCACTGTAAAATGAAATCGGTGAATCCATACTGATTCAAACTAAGCGAATTGATAGTAAGCAATTTGCAGGAAGGGTAAGCATTAGGTATTGTGAACATAACTATGGAAGTCGATGACTGGTTGAAACAGCGATGGAGGCACAATGACAGTTAGTAAATGCAGATCTATTTCGGGAATGAAATAAGAAAATCTGCAGAGGGCTTTTTCCAGCTTAATTGTTAATCACTTAACTGCACGCTTCACTGATTCTAAACACAGACAAAGGAGAAAGATAGAAAGTAGCAGAGTGTTTTCAACACTTAGACACCAACAAACTCATCGACAAACATGACCTTTTACATTTGAGATCACAATTTCGAAGCGCGATTCCGGTTTTATGCGTATGCTAACAATAAGTATGAGAAATGTGTAACAACGGACAGCTTCTAACCTTTTGACCTTCGACCAAATCGATTCGACTGCTAATTTGGCGACCTTAGAGTGAGGTAGTATAAAGAGGAGGTGACAACAGATGGAGACAGCGTCCTCAGCAATGCGAAGAATTGCCATAGCAAGCCTTCTTTTCGCCGCGTACTGGTAAGCGCTTAGTTGCTTACATTTTAGCACTCCAAATTTCATTGTATACAACTTATGAATTCACTTATGATGTATCTTTTGCAGCCAGTACGCTTCTGCCGGAGGCGGTGGTTACGGTAAGGACATAATTTCACTTTGAATTTGACCGTATTATACAATTCTTCTTTTAGGTGGGGGTATGGGAGGAGGAAGTTACGGCGGCGGTATGGGCGGTGGTGGAGGTAAATATTATCCAGCTAATCAAATTTTAACTACACCCAAATTTCGAAGCAAAAACATGAAAAGCTCATAAACTTAGAATTGTTTTAAATTCACACGTTATTATCAACAAGTATGGCTTGAATGAGCTGGAGTAGAGAAAGATCATCCCTACAGGAAAAATTCAGAAAAAGTTTGCTATAAGAAGTTTTCTGCACTTTACCGCTTTTGGTCATATTAACGGCTATACAAACGAGTAATCGTACCAGAAAATGACTTTTTCAAGATTCATAGTATTAAGCGAGCACGAACGTTTGTTAAAAGATGACTACCCTGAGCAAATACCATTTGCCTTACAATTTGTATCCAACCTTTAAAAATTAACATTGAAGAAAACGCAATTTTCTAAAGTTCAGTGTGTATTAGGAATCAAGTTTAACGAACACTTGACAGGCGGATATGCTAGAGGAGGAGGCGGAGGATACTCCGGCGTCGGAGGTTATTCCGGCGGCGGAGGTGGAGGTTATTCCGGAGGCGGAGGTGGAGGTTGTTCCGGCGGCGGCGGTGGAGGTTGTTCCGGCGGCGGAGGTGGAGGTTACTCCAGCGGCGGAGTTGGAGGTTACTCCAGCGGCGGAGGTGGAGGTTATTCCGGCGGCGGTGGAGGCGGAGGTAAGCTCAAAAGATTCTCTATTGTCTTCTGATTACTGAGCAAAGACTAATTCAGGTTACGCCGTTGCACCACCCCCAATGCCTCAGCCACCACCTCCACCACCACCACCACCACCACCTATGCCATCCCCAGGAGGATACGCTGGCGGTGGAGCTGGCGGAGGCAGCTATGGTGGAAATGGCGGAGACATGGGAATAGATATGGGAGGTGGAGGCATGGGTGGAGGAGACATGGGTGGAGGAGACATGGGAGGAGGCGACATGGGAGGAGGCGACATGGGAGGAGACATGGGCGGAGGAGGCATGGGAGGTGGAGGAGGCAGCTTTGGAGGAGGTGGCATAGGCGGTTACCAACAACCTGCTCCTCCACCACCCCCACCACCTCCACCCCCACCCCCACCTCCACCAACTGGCGGTTATAGCAGTGGAGGCGGCAGCTATAGTGGAAGTGGCGGAAGTATGGGAAGCGGAGTCATGGGAGGAGGAGGATATTCATCGGGATACTCATCAGGGCCAGCACCAGCGCCTTATCAACCTCCGATGCCTGCACCAATGCCACCTCCTGCACCATACCCACCAAGCGGTGGTAGTTATAGTGCACCTTCCCAACCATGTAAGTACCATTTATTCGGATGGTTTTTGTGCAGTTCTTTTCTTTTTAGCGGGTGGTTATCCACGAGGTGGATATCGACGAAGAAATTTGAAAAGGATTCGAGTGCTGCGAAAAAAGGTCATCATGAGGAGTATGGCAAAACATGCCTAAGTCATCAGTGTATAATATTGTAAACTAAATAAATCTTGTAAACCATGTGAAATACAACGTAGAACCAGAGCTAATGATGAAGAAGCTGACGTCAATGCAGACGAGAGATATGGGATTCAAAACCTGAAAAAGCGCTCAACTACTGATAGACTGATTTCTTGATTTTATCATTCTCTTTCTGTAATCACTCGGAAGTTTGTGATAAAACGCGCTTATAGTCGAGCTTGTAGATCCTTTAGTATTTTCGTGTAAAGTGAAGCTTAAAATAAAACAAAAAGCTTGATTTCCATCAATAGTTTACATCTAACTACACGTAATCTCTAATAAGGAGTGAGTGAAAACGTTGAGAAAAAGTATGAGAATGGCGTGGTGCGCTAAATGAAGAGAGAGAGAGATGAAAAAGGATACAAGCCAATCAATGCGTACAATGGGTTGGGGAGCGGAGTAATAAGAAAAAAAGCAAAAAGTGCCGCACAACAAATTAGACGTACGTTTCCTTGTGATATAACAAGAAAATATATTATACAAGCTGGCGAACCCGGCTCCGCCCGGTCCTGTCAATAATGTTATTCGTATTCGAAATTCGATATTCGGAGTTCTTCCATTTTCGAATAATATTCGAAACTCGAATAATTGAGAAAACGGGGTTTCGAATAAAATTCGAAAACTCAAATAATCAAAAAGCGAGGTTTTGAATATTATTCGAAAACTCGAATAATCAAAAAACGAGGTTTCGAATATTATTCGAAAACTCGAATAATCAAAAGACGGGGTTTCGAATAGATTTTATTCGAATATTTTATTCGAATGTTTATTCGAATTCGTATTCGAATGTACTCCGTATTCAGATTATTCGACTTTGTTGCAGAGCCAACTGCTGAGTATCAAGCTCACCTCGTCCGCGTTTTTTTTTTCGCAAAACTCGGTAATGCATCTTATGCAACCGATATACCTTTGAACTGTATGGAGAGTCGCATTCTTTCGACTGCTTGCGACAGTAAAAAAATCATATGTGGATTTTAGTTGATGTTTTTTCGATCAATGAGATTGTTCGCACCGCTGTTGGCACCAAATCAGCAAAGAAGATATCAAATTCAAGCTCATGTTCTGAGTTCATACTGAACTGATTATGGAGCTGATTATGGATAAAAATTTACTCTATCGATTTTATCGATTTTTGGAAAATCTTGAGCTACGAGGTTGGGAGTTGGTACAAGGGGGTAAGTGAGGGTGCTGATTATGAATAAAAATTTACTTTATCGATTTTATCGATTTTTGGAAAATCTTGAGCTACGAGGTTGGGAGTTGGTACAGGGGTAAGTGAGGGTGCTGATTAAATTTTTGGAAAATTTTGAGCTAGGAGTTGGTATAGGGGATACTAGGGGGCTGATTATGATTGGATCGGCTTTAGCCAGATATGTCGGCAAGTTTGAGATGTGATTGCTTTAGTTATTCGATAAATCATTCGAATAATTATTCGAAATTCGACTTCCAATGTTCGAATATATTCGATATTCATTCATTCGATATTTTTGATTTTCCGAATCTATTCGAAATTCATTCATTCGATATTTTTGATTTTCCGATTTTATTCGAAATTGTTCATTCGATATTTTTGATTTTCCGAATTTATTCGGTATTCGTTTATTCGAGATTTTTTATTTTCGAATTCAATCGATATTCGTTTATTCGAAATTTTTCCTTTTCGAATTTATTCGATATTCATTCATTCAATGAAAAATTATCGAATTACCCAAGTATACTACACACCATGCACCCCTGCACATCCTGCACACCCTGCACACCCTGCACGATGTGCACAAACATACAGATTTTCTGCTTTATTATAGTGATAAATACATAATATTATAATATAGAAATACAAGTCCAAAATCACAAATTACTGCACATCCTTTCTTTTGAGCATACTATGAAGGTCATTGCTAAAGAATATTTGTTGAGTTTGGCTATATATTTTGAGCAAGTGGCTGCCAAGGGAGTTCCGCACCACCTGTTTGCGACCCTTGATCAGGTTTAATTCAAGGCGTAGTGTCAAACTTTTAAGCTAAAACTTCCTCTGGAGAGGTAATCTGAAACCAAACTTTTGCTACAAAAGTAGGTTCTGTCTGTTCATAACAAAATAGACACGGTAGGCGTTCGGCCAGACCTTAGCCCCCCTCCACCTTCGCTTTTCGAAAAGGAAGCTCTGAGAGGTAAGCTTCAGGTATTTGAAGCGTGGTTTTTAGCAGAATAGGGAAGGCGAGTATTTACGATTGGAGAACGAACAAGTTATACAGTGTCTGAAATGAAATAGATCGTACTCGGCGATAAAACGTAGGTGGTCTCAGTCGAAGATTCAGGGATAATGCAGGAATTGTCGATCTTTGTCTGGATCTCATCAATTAGTGCACTATCTATCTCTTGCTACAAAGTTCTTGTTGTTTCCTAATTGCCACTATATTTACGATGATACAATGAGCATATTTCGTAGACTTCTGCAGAATTCGAAAAACTCGGGCACCGCAGATATGGCAATAAAAGAGAGAAAACGGAGGAAGAGGAGTCTGAGTTTGCTGCAGCTTGAAATTGTTAGGTTGACCGGAAAATAAAATTGCGTCGTTTTTATCATGCAGCATCGCGAACAGAGTGAGTATGGAAAAAAAGTGAATGGAACACCAACCGATAGACGAAAGCAAGCTCTAGCACAAAGTGAATCTCAAACATTCGCGCCAAGTCTGATCTACGTGAAATTCGGAGGCAGATTTGAACAGCCACTAAAGGCTTAAAATATCGAAAAAAATCATGTCTCCGTTCAGAAAAAATCCTGGGAACTCCAAACTTGCTCATGCATGCACCGTCTACATCAGACACTCGCATGCACAGTTCCGTGACTTTTGCATGACTAGAAATCGAGAGACCGAAGTTTGGCATACTTTCGTCACAGCAATCCTGAGTTTTTTTCACATTAAAGACTGTTTAGTTTGAATCTTTGGAAGTGTAATCATGAAACAGCTTCCCACGAAAAGTGACTTTCGAGAAAAAAGTTTGTCGTCAAAACCCGAAAAATGTGACAAATTCGCATTTCGACCTCTCTTGATTTCTCGTATCCTAGCCATAAAAAATCCAACAAAGTTACATGTGAATGTCCCATGTAAAGAGTACACATAGGAGACCTTTAGGAGTTCTATAGAGTGGGATTCGATTTTTCGAGTACTGTTTTTATATACTGGCGTCAAACTTCATGTGGGTCAAGTTTGCACAATTGTTGGATGCTATCTTGTAGAGATTGCCTTATTCTACTGGATGAAATCCCATTCTATGATTTCTTGTTTACTCTAACGCTGTAGGATGCTATGCGACATTGACAACCTAAGGCGATTTTCCTGTATGCAAGTCAATTTCCTCGATAACTGCTAATTCGGTACTTCGCTGGAAAACTAAAAAAAGTCTTGAGATAGAATGCGAACTTGTCCCACAATCCTTGTTTAGAACTAGGAACTATTATGGTAAGGACTGAAATTGGCTCAAGAATCGATCTGAAAACAAACTTTAAAAGCAATACAAAAACTTACATCGCAACTTATAAGAATAAATAGCTGTAGAATAAATAAAAAACAGTAGATGTGTGTCATGAAATTGATGAAATAAGTTCTTCGGATCGATCATACGAAAAAGAGATTATGCTAATCAATGCGCTGTACGCCCTATGTGTCAAAGAACTAACATTTGATGGACAAAAATTGTTTCAGTATTGACGCTTCGCTACCTGATAAGGATATAAAAAACAATTCTAAGCGAACTTTTCAATGACAGTTATCAGTGGAACGTGCGTACCGACAAGGTCGCAACAGATTTTTGGAGTTCGAAGAGGAAACAGAGGAAAGAAAGAGAGTATTTCCGGGATTTTCTTTCAATCATACTCAAGCTCATAATCCTGGAATACCCGAATACGTTTGCTTAAAGTGTGCTGAAAAATATCTCAAGTACTGACGAAATCTGCAACATTATGGTCATTGGTGAATAAATACAAAATTTACAGTTTTGTGTCTCATCTAAACTGCTCTTAACGTTTCTGTGCTTCGTTCTCAAGGAAGCACGTCAGCCGATGCTGCGTACGTATTTGTTCTGATGTGCCAAAGGGATCCAAAAACATAAAAACTAGTGAATTTGGAAAAAAAGAATGATCAGTTAACTAAATTCTTCTTGAGTACTCTTGCATGCCAACTTTAGCGTGATCGAGTTTTTCAAATATGTATCATCGCAACCATAATAGCTACGTCTCGAGAGCACAATAATATTCTTTTATTATTGATAGAAGATCATAAGATTAGATTTGATTAACAGATAAACATCTCACCTGACATGGGCATGGGCACCAGGGTTTCAGCTTTGGTAGTAGTTATATTTCCGGAAGTACGATGTCCAGCAGCAGGACAATAATTGTTTGACTAACTCTAGAGTAAAAATACCTGAACTGCTTACTATGGGTGCACAAAAAGCATCTAGAAAAATGCTTGTAATACAATTTCGAATTTTTCCCTGATGTTTAGCTCCTTCAGCTTGTTCATCGAAGTATTTAAAATGCTGGAGTACTGATAGAGTTTACGGTTTTACAAAGACGAGTAAAAAGAATGTTCAGATTTGCAAATGAACATTATATTGAAATTTCAAAAGCTCCAAAATGGTAATAAAATACAGCACATGCTCTCTTCTCGCTCCCCATACGTACTTGTACGATGCATTTATATTAGAAAAGCCTTGTGCCCTCTCTTTCCACTAACTTCTGAGCCGGCCACTGCCACCAAACACTGAACTCAAAACGTCAAATTTGAGACGATGTGAAGGTGGCACAGGTCTTGCTCGACGACTTTCGTTCTTAAATGTAGAATAGATGATGTGAACAGTTTGAAATATATGCGGAGATCTTTTGTGGAAACTGTGCGTCAAATTCACTACATACAACATACTAAACAGAACCGGAGCAAAATGCATGACCGCAATTCAAGACCTCAAAGATTGCTTTGCTTGTCCCTCGCATACATCACTATAGATGTTCACGCTTCCCAATTCAGTTTGAGTACAAGTCTCCAGTATGTTCAAGACTAATGCTTACGGATACAGGTTCGAAGTCAGCATTTTATGCTGCATCTAATAGTATGCAGCTTGTTTAGATCGGCCACTTAAATTCTTCAGCGTTGCCTTGTAAGCATCTCAGACCCCTTAGGCCGTGGGCATACCTCACACGATTCCAGTCGCCAGTCGCCATGCGATCTGCCAATTTGCTAGATGTCTTCAAATTACTGGCAGACCCAAAGGCACAGCGTATAACTTTCGTAGGTTGATGGTTTGCCCCCATCTTCTGTACATTAGAAACCCCTAGCGATGATTTACGTACGAATGGAGTATTGCCAAATCGCGTGAGGCATGCCCACGGCCTTATTCACGCAGGCGATGTGGAAAAGCTCGACAAGAGTTTGTGCAAACGCTACATTTTGAAGGCCATTTAGGTGTTGTCTTCCAAATTCAGTGTGTTTATTGACCTTGTATGCCATCCTAACTTATAATGACCAAATCCTGATGAGGATAGCTAATTCTACTCAACTATAGGTACCGAGTGAAACAAAACTTGTATTGGTTTGAAAGTACCCTCACCCAAGGACGCAAACACATCACGCCTATCAAATTGAAATGCGCGACAAGGTCAAGTGCTTAGCAGCTTATTGCATTGTTCTACGACTTGGCGGAAAATGCACAAAGAAAATCTGATGCGGTTTCTAACCAAGTCTGCGCTGAGTTCAAAAATAAAAGTAATAACAGCCACCCACACTGTCTACAATAGCGAAGATGTAATTTCAGTTCAATCACGAAGAAGTTCTTCTTCTTCTCGTTATTGCACAGAGATCAAAGGGCAGTTACAAAGATTGCACTGTTACGAAAGTCTTCATTTACGAAAAATGTTTTCAATCGATTTTCTCATTATTTCTTCATATTGAATCACTTAAACGATTACTCAAATTGTAGGGCTGGAAATATATGAGTGTGTGTTTGTATGCATGTGTATGGGTATGCAAAATTAAGTAAGATGTTGTAAAAGCATCAAAGCCGAGACATCAAAAAATGTAACAAAGCGAACTCATTGAGGCGAACTAATGACTTGCCATAATTACAGTAGCATATTTCGAAATATTTTCCACGAAATAAAAGAAAACGCAACAGCGGCTGCCTGCCCAGAGCAAGGTTGCCGCAGCATATGTGCCTAATCAGTTTTACGCGCTTACAAAAGAGAACGGAAAGGTGTAATAAAGCACAGCTTAAAACTGCCTACAGCGGAGCCTGTACTGATAATCATGGCCTTACCTTTGTTGGTCTGTTGTATATAAATGAAGGTTGGAGAATGCAGCACACACTCCAGCAATGCGAAGAGTCTCCTTAGTCAGTCTAGTCCTCGTCACATATTGGTACGTTTCGCTTGGCAGTTTTTTCTTGAATATCTTACTTTTTGCTTTTCAGCCAATTCGCCGCAGCTGGCGGAGGCAGTGGAGGTTATGGTGAGTGCATTTTGAATGTTGAAAATATTCCGTGTTATGTTCGAGACCTACTGTTACTAGACGCCCCTTTTTTGTAATTGTGAAAAGTAAAAAGATAGCACAGGGCACAAGAAAAACAACACTGCTCTCAATTTCGAGCTTAAGGCTTCACCGAGTAGAGAGGATGCAATGTACACTGACAGGTGCAAATCTACTACTGATTCAACAAATTCTTTAAGGCGGTGGCGGTGGCGGTGGCGGAGGAAGCTACGCCGCCGCTGTAACCTCCACCGCCACTGCCGGCGTAGCTTCCTCCGCCACCGCCACCGCCACCGCCTTAAAGAATTTGTTGAATCAGTAGTAGATTTGCACCTGTCAGTGTACATTGCATCCTCTCTACTCGGTGAAGCCTTAAGCTCGAAATTGAGAGCAGTGTTGTTTTTCTTGTGCCCTGTGCTATCTTTTTACTTTTCACAATTACAAAAAAGGGGCGTCTGGTAACAGTAGGTCTCGAACATAACACGGAATATTTTCAACATTCAAAATGCACTCACCATAACCTCCACCGCCTCCGCCAGCTGCGGCGAATTGGCTGAAAAGCAAAAAGTAAGATATTCAAGAAAAAACTGCCAAGCGAAACGTACCAATATGTGACGAGGACTAGACTGACTAAGGAGACTCTTCGCATTGCTGGAGTGTGTGCTGCATTCTCCAACCTTTATTTATATACAACAGACCAACAAAGGTAAGGCCATGATTATCAGTACAGGCTCCGCTGTAGGCAGTTTTAAGCTGTGCTTTATTACACCTTTCCGTTCTCTTTGTAAGCGCGTAAAACTGATTAGGCACATATGCTGCGGCAACCTTGCTCTGGGCAGGCAGCTGCTGTTGCGTTTTCTTTTATTTCGTGGAAAATATTTTCGAAATATGCTACTGTAATTATGGCAAGTCATTAGTTCGCCTCAATGAGTTCGCTTTGTTACATTTTTTGATGTCTCAGCTTTGATGCTTTTACAACATCTTACTTAATTTTGCATACCCATACACATGCATACAAACACACACTCAGATATTTCCAGCCCTACAATTTGAGTAATCGTTTAAGTGATTCAATATGAAGAAATAATAAAAAATCCATTTAAAACATTTTTCGTAAATGAAGACTTCGTAACAGCGCAATCTTCGTAACTGCCCTTCAATCTCTGTGCACTAACGTCAAGAAGAAGAACTTCTTCGTAATTGAACTGAAATTACATCTTCGCTATTGTAGACAGTGTGGTGGCTGTTATTACTTTTATTTTTGAACTCAGCGCAGACTTGGTTGAAAACCGCATCAAATTTTCTTTGTGCATTTTTCGCCAAGCCGTAGAACAATGCAATAAGCTCACTAGGCACTTGACCTTGTCGCGCATTTCGACTTGATAGGCGTGATGTGTTTGCGTCCTTGGGTGAGGGTACTTTCAAACCAATACAAGTTTTGTTTCACTCGCTACCTATAGTTGAGTAGAATTAGCTATCCTCATCAGGGGTTGGTCATTATAAGTTAGGATGGCATACAAGGTCAATAAACACACTGAATTTGGAAGACAACACCTAAATGGCCTTCAAAATGTAGCGTTTGCACAAACTCTTGTTGACCTTTTCCACATCGCCTGCGTGAATAAAGCCGTGGGCATACCTCACGCGATTTGGCAATATTCCAATTGTACGCAAGTCATCGTAAGGGGTTTTTTAAATGTACAGAAGATGGGGGGCAATCCATCAACTTACGAAAGTTATAGGCTGTGCCTTTGGGGTCTGCTAGTATTGAATTTGAAGACATTTGGCAAATTGGATCGCTGGCGACTGAAATCGTGTGAGGTATGCCCACGGCTTAAAGACAGTGTCCGGGCAAGATGGGGGTTTTGGGATTTTAGCGCCATGCAAGAGTGGCCCCCTCAGACACAACTTCGCGCAAGTGCGACGTCACAATGCTCGGCCTAAAGCAAGAAAAACGACCGGAAAGTGGGGGACTTACGACGGCGAGTCCTCCGAGGTGTCCGAGTTCCTGCTATGTGGCAGAGTACGCATGCCGCCACAGTCAAATGTAGGGTCCCGCAGCGAATCTGCGTCTCTGCATTTGTGGGGACCGTCGAATTTCGAATTGTGAGGCTTTGGAAGACTTATGTTCTCGCCGTTTTCGCGCCTTCTAATGT